TAATTGATATTCATATTAAAACGCGCTTTTCCTGTGTGCTTCTTCGTCTTTTTGTCCCGTCTTTTTTGCGCTATTTTTAATTCGAATAACAGGCTGAACGTATCCCCCCCCCCCCCCCCCCCCTATGGAAAGCCGGAACCCCAACCTTGGTTTCGGCTTGAAGAGGTGAGTTTTTTTTTTTTTTTCTTTTTTTTTTGCTTTCTAGAAATTTATTTTATTCTGCAGCAAAATAATGATGCGGTAATCTCCCGACAGTCATATTCGCCTAATATTTTTTTTTGGGGGGGGGGGAGGGGGGGGGGTTATGCTCCTTTAAGCGTGCTATGAGCGTTAATTTCTTTTCCATTCAATAAGCAGAATATTGTCACGGGTGGTGATTCGTGACCAATAAACGAGAAATAAACAGAAATAAATAAACGTTTAATGTGGCGAACTTGTGCCAAAAATAAAGAAGGAAACAGAAGAAAGCAGAGCGTCGCGGGCGTCGAAGTCGGCGTGTCAGCAGAATCGAGCGCTGGGGCGAGACTGACTCGACAAGGTCGCGGGCGGCCTCTTATCTAGAGTGCGTCGCTATCTCGAAGATTCGGCGAAAACGGTTCGAGCGTCGCGTGATCGGGGCGAGAATGAACACGCACTTTCTAGAAAACAAAAGCAGGATAAATGATAGAAGTTACGGGCGGTACATGAATAAACGGGAGCTTTCTGGAGGACCGCGACCGAGCGTTGCTTTCTCAGCCTTGCGCGCGGCAATATCACTCTGCCTGTTAACACAAATGCATGCCAAGGAAGACCATAAGTTATAGTTTAAGGGAAGCAGAAATGGTTCCTGAAAAAAAAAACGAGTTGGAAGAAAATTCTACCGTATTATTGTCCTGCAAATGGGAATAGCAGAAGTGTTTGACCCTGAGGTATAAATTAGTGATCGGCCGAACTTTTGCCGAATCGAAAGTTCGGCGCCAAATCCTGGGATTCGGCAAAGCCGAACTTTTTCCGAACTTTTCTAAAGATTCGGAAAAGATTCGGCAAAAATGCATTGTTACCAGACTTAACGTTGATATTTCGCTTTTTCTGGCGAAAAAAGGTTTTTTATTTCTTTTTTTCTTAACTTAAATGCAACATGGAATGCATATTGACACAGTTATTACTAAATAAGGTGATATTCTACAATATAATTGTATCGGTGTAGTCTTTGCGTGTGTACTGGCAATTTTAGTGACTCCTTGCAGAAGTGGCTTGACAACGAGGTGGGGTAGAAGCGAGCGTGGCGCAGTCAAGAATCACGCCTCGAGAGTTTCGGTTTTGAGGCATCATCAGCGCAAGCCTACATGTGCGTGTACATTGTTAAAATTAAGGCTATAACGCTGCGTTCTTTCTTTCTCTGGGAGTCACCGTTTTGCGCGCGAAACCGAATGCAACGGTTGCTGAGCCTTCACCAGAAGAGAGAATAATAATATTGTAAATAATAAAATATGCATGTTTTCCGATCTGAATCACTTGACGTGAGCTTTGCATGAAAGTGTGCTTCCCATATTCGCTACGTCTCGTTTCTAACCTTTAAAATGCCAGTTTCTGGCGCTAGGACACAGGCGAACGTTTCGGAAGATAGGGAGGGTTAGGAATGGTCGGAAGTGCAACGTCGAGCATTATAGTTCTGTGTTTGATTTTATGCAGATACATGAAAATCGCGAAATAATACTAATTGAAAAAGCAATAATATTTTGTTTTGGAACGCACTACTCCTGAGCCGAAAATAGAATCGTTATAATTGCGAGGAGTGCTTTAAAGTAATCGTCGGCCAATGTTTCAATGTTTCAGAATGCACCGCATCATTTGTCCCTTACGCAGGGGACTGCGTAAATTACTGGTCGATCTTTTATTCTTGAGGCGGAAAGTATTGAAGAGAACCACACTCGCTCACAAACGCACAGTTACCGTGTTGATTACTCCACACCGCGCCGTAACCGCTGGTTGGACTACACTGCAGTGCACGATGGTAACGGCACGACTGCACGGCGTCCATTTGTAATCCATGGCTCCGTCACGTTGTCGCCCGTGCGCAGGCATTGGCCGAATTTTTGCCGAACTTTCCTTCAAAATTTTGGCATTTGCCGAACTTTACCGAATCTAAAGTTTGGCAGATTCGCTCCATCACTAGTATAAATACATAGAACAAAACCGAAATGCAATCCGCTGAGTGTGTAGTCTTACTGAGAGGTATCAACAACTTCCCGCTTGCCCCTTGTGAATTGAACGCGTGCAGATATTTCGACTGGTCCAGCAAGGTTTCCGGAAGGCATGGAAATGTTGAGATTTCTGTGTAACAATTCATGACTCCGTCTTCCCTCTGAAGGCAACGGGAGAGTGTTTTTTTTTAAAGTGCTTTTATGGCTCCTTGGCGCTTCAATCTGAAACATATTTTGGATAATCCTTATTGCGGAGACCAAGTGAACACGATTTCATTGTTTTTTGCCAAATACAGAACAGTTTCAGTTTACCCTTAATCTGTGAGTCGGCAATCGAACGTGGCTATCAAAAATAGCCGATTGTAGAAAAATGCAATGAATACAAAATAAACTATGTACTATCTTCTAAAAGTAAAGCTACATGTGCTTATACTTAATTTCTTCTGAAGTGACACAGTGGAGCAAAAACCCAACTAGTGAAATAAAAAGTACTCGTTCACAAAAAAAAGGGAAGAAAACAAAATACGTTTTTTTTTTTTTTTTTGCTGACAATTTGTTTTCACTAAAATAAAATCCACGGGCGTCCACAATGGCATTCCTTGGATTGACGGATGCCTAAATGGCCGTGGGCTGATAAATTTTTGTGCTGTTGTATTTCTCGACAAGGTAACTTCATGATATCAAACTTGCGCGTTTTTTTACCACCACGAGCGTTGCATTCACGAGTACTCTAAACTTTCTCATACGCGTAGTTCATCCAAGGGGCCCCAAAACAGGGCCGGGCCCAGTATAACAAACTATATGACGCTAACGTATTTGCCGTTCACTCTTACATAGTGTGTGCTTTGCGCAGCAGCACGCTCCGCAGGACTTGAGCCACGACGCATTCCACGTTGAGTCACTCTTCGTGCACTAAACATATACCCCTGGCAGCTAATCTAGAAATAGTTTCGGGGTCAGGGGCGATTGCGCCGGCCACGCTGGTTACGAACGTGGCTTTACGGCGACCGCCGCCATCCACGTGCGGGCTCTCTTATGAAGCATAAGTGCATGGAAATACCTCTTGTTTCTTCGCAAGCAGTTTCTGGTACTCTTCCACGCGTTGCGAAACATCGGTGCCCGGTGTATTATTCTGCTGCAGTTTGGAAGCAGGTGAGAGCTCGCGTTTCAGCTGCTGATATTAAGAGAAGAAAGCTGGCGATCCTTTTGACCAAAGTCGGGCTTCTTATGGTACTTCCTGACCTTCAATTGTTTGGCGAAGTCCGACGACGTTCGGCACTTAAAAAATGTCACCCGTCTTTTGTACAAAGGTAGGAAGCACAGTCAGTGACAGTTTCAGACACATAAGGCATGGCTATTCCCTGGTGTCCTATTTGCTCTTGGAAGTCGAACAAACTGCGGCATTACAGATTCAAATGCGCAAATAACGATTCGCGAATTGAGAGTCGTAAAAATGACAATTGACGCCCTGTGCTTCGTGAGACGTCAGCTGACACGTTTTATTTTAAAATGAAATCCGGTTACCAACGTTTTCTCAAAACCAGATTAAACATAATACGTTTAATATTTGCGCTGCTTATTACCCACCAGCGCCTGGTGGCACCAATTTGTTTTAATTTTCATCCATTCAAAAAGAATAGGCCAACTCCAGTCGATGTTTGCGTTACCAGTAGACATAAGGAAAAATTAAAAATCGGCAGCTCCACAGCATCTTTCTTCTCGGGTTCTCCCGCCTATTTTGAGCTGAATAGTGGATGCATTGCGTTCCATTCGTTTAATATAAACATAAATTCGAGTTAAAAATCAAGACTTAAAACCGGAACTACCCTGGCCTCGTTGCGCTTCTGCGGTAAAATATATTAAGAACAGCCATTTCACTGTGTATGTATAGTTGAGGTTCTAAAGAATTACTCGTGAAGTATATCGCTAAAGGCTTTTCTTCAAAATTATCATGTTAACGATTTACCCAAAACCAAGCTATTCCTTAGCCTGTCATATATTTACGGACGAGTACATCATCATTTTTATAGGCATAGATCGATGTGAAGCGGAGCAGCTGACATCGATTCCATTTCGCAGAGAATATTTATCTGGATGAAACCACCTTTCAGCACCTGTAGTAGACATTCAGTTCATTGATGTATTGAACCAAGTGTTAATAATGTTTGCTCCTATCGCGCCAAACTGATCGATTTCTAATTATATATTTTTCTGTCTTGTATTTTTTTATCAGATATTGAATCTTTGTGGCCACCCATTCTGTAATGCTCTCTGAGTCCTGAGGAACCTGAAGTTACGTGTATGAACTTGTTCAAGTTTAGCGATGTGTATCTGTGAATCCAGATCCTTTTATAAAGATAAGTGTGGTCTATACTTTGGGTGCGGTAGATTACAGTCAAGCCGTGACAGTATTTGCAATGAAGAAAGGTGTAATCTAGTCAATGTTTGTAAAAAAAATGAAGAAATTGTTATGTTGTATTACGCGCGTTTCAGCACGTATGACGCGCCCCCTTTTTCTTCTGATCGCTCCTCCTGTGCCTACCCTTCCCCTCTCTGATAACATGCTATAAGTTACGCACGCCTCCCGGCCGCGCCCTTCTTCTCGCTCGCTCCGTCATGGAATAAAGTCATTCCACCTCGCCACTCGCCGAGCTGCTCTCGTCAATCCCGTTCGTCCACTCGCACGAACACTACATAATGGCGACGAGGACACCGAACCTGCCTTGGGATCATGACTTCTGAAGATGAACCAAGAGATGGCCAGCTAACCAACCGAGACAGCGCCGAAACACCGAAAGTGACGTCGACGCCGAGGCCATGACCACCAGCTTCGGGAAAGTGGAACATTTTGATGAGTCTAGTAGTGACTGGCTCTCCTACGAAGAGCGCGTGTTGTCTTTTCTACGAGCCAAAAAAGTTCCGGCAGAACTGCAAGTTGACGCCTTCGTGAGTTCGATCGGACCGAAAACTTACGCCCTTCTCAAGTCTTTGACTGCTCCGGAAACACCGTCGTCAAAGTCCTTTGAAGAATTGCGGCAACTACTGCGCAACCATTTATCACCCAAGCCATCCGTAATTGGCGAGAGAGCGAAATTTTACCGACGGTCGCAAACGGAAGATGAATCCATTTCAGAGTTCGTGGCCAAGATACGACGACTCGCACGAACGTGCGAATTTGGAAACTTTCTTGATGAGTCACTCCGAGACCGCTTTGTCTGCGGCCTCCGACGAGTAGATATCCAGCGGCAGTTGTTCAGTGAAGATAAGCACCTCACATTCCAAAAGGCCGTCGAACGTGCTTTGTCACTTGAGGCAGCTGTCAAGAACGCATCAGCGACCCACTCAAGGTCAGACAGCGCCGCCGAACTGAACAAGCTGCGCAGCTCGGGGCCCAAGCCAAGGGTGATAACGGCGCATTGCTTTCGCTGCGGTTTACCCAAACACGAAGCCACGACGTGTCCACATGGACAAGCAACGTCTTACAAGTGTCACCGTCAGGGGCACACACAGAGTGCGTGCAAATCAAAGACAAGGTCGCCCAAGAAACGTTTTCCAGTCAGGTCCTGGGAAACCCAAGATGAGTTCACTCTCAACGGCGTCAAAGCATCTGCTCGGTCTACGCCCATCATGGTTGAAGTTCAAGTTCAAGGCACTCCGTTGTCGATGGAACTGGACACGGGGGCAGCCGTATCGATTATTTAAAGCAGCCTTCACAAGCGACTTTTTCCAAGTCTGCGCCTCGAGAAAACACCTCTTCGGCTGCGCACGTACACGGGACAAGTAATGAAGCCCAGCGGCGTGCTACATGTCAACGTCGAAAGCAGCGGCACGGAAAAAAAACTCTTGCCACTCTATGTTGTACCGCAGACCGGACAACCGCTTTTGGGACGAGAGTGGCTTCAACACGCCCAGCTTGACTGGAACCGCATTCGAGACGTCAACGCAGTCACGCGCGCTTCGCCAACTTTGAACAAGCCTCCAGCTGAACTTGAGTGGCTTCTGCAAAGATTCAAGCATATTTTCAGCGACGAGCTCGGCAAAATCAATGGTGAGAAAGCCCGTCTTTATTTCAAGAACGATCAAAAACCCAGATTTTTGAAGGCTAGAACGGTACCGTTTGCATTACGTGCAGCCGTAGAAGACGAACTTAATAAGCTTGAAACGTTAGGCACAATCGCTCCCGTTGCCAGCAGTCAGTTCGCGACGCCTGTAGTGCCAGTGATCAAACGTGATTGTTCTATTAGACTTTGCGGCGACTATAAAGTCACGCTAAACCCTATCCTAGACTCCGAGAGCTATCCGCTTCCTAAATTCGAAGAATTATTTGCTGTCCTGGCCGGAAGAAACAAGTTCTCGAAGCTAGACCTCAACCGAGCATTCCAGCAGGTAGAAATGGATGAGTCATCTAAGAGTTACCTAACTTTGAACACTCAGAAAGGACTCTACGTCGTAAATCGCCTTCCGTTTGGCATCGCGTCCGCACCGGCGATATTCCAGCGAATAATGGACCATATCTTGAAGGGTCTCGAAGGAGTCACTTGTTACATCGATGACATTATAGTAACAGGAAAAACTGACGAAGAACACCTCCGTAATTTGGAGGCTGTGTTGCAACGCTTATCTGAGAAAGGCGTCAAAGTAAAACTGTCGAAGTGTGAATTTTTCAAGGATAAGCTGCAGTACTTGGGACATATCGTAAGCCGAGGCGGCGTTCAGCCAGCCACTGATAAGGTCGGAGCTATCATGAAAGCGCCGAGGCCAGCTGACACGCACCAGTTAAAGTCGTTGCTGGGACTAGTGAATTACTACGGAAAATTTATTCCTAACCTTGCCAGCGTGGTTGCACCTCTCAACCGACTTTTGCGCGCCGACGTGCGCTGGTCGTGGAGCGACAAATGTGAATTTGCGTTCCAGGAAGTGAAGAGGCGGCTGTCCTCTCCACCGGTGCTGACTCGTTACGATCCTGGAGCACCGTTGCAGCTGTCCGGCGACGCCTCAGCGTACGGCGTCGGCGCGGTCCTGTCTCACGTTGCTCCAGATGGGCAGTGTCGTCCGATTGCTTACGCGTCACGGACTTTGACTAAAGCGGAAGAAGGCTACAGCCAAAAAGAAAAGGAAGCGTTAGCACTAGTATTCGGTGTAAAACGATTTCATTACTACCTCTATGGGCGCAGTTTGGTTCTTGTAACGGACCATAAGCCCTTGCAGACTATCCTGGGACCGAAGACCCGCATCCCTACCCTAGCAGCAGCCAGACTACAGCGCTGGGCAGTTCTCCTTTCCGCGTACACGTTTACGCTAAAGTACAAGTCATCAAAGGAAAACGCCGATTCAGATTGCTTATCACGCCTGCCTCTTCAAGGTCAAAACGGCGATAGCGAAGAGCCGTCAGAAGAATGTTTCTTCTTACTACGCTTCAGCACGCTACCGGTTAACCACCGTGACGTGGCTCGCGAGACAAACAGGGACCCGGTGTCGAAGCAGATAGTGCAGTACGTGGCGAACGGTTGGCCGAATCGTGCGCCGAGTGACGATCTAAAGCCTTTTTTCTACAGGCGCTGAGAGTTCTCATTGCAGCAAGGGTGCCTAATGCTTGGTACCCGTATCGTCATTCCGCGACGTTTCCAGTCCTTCATGCTCGAGGAGTTGCACCAAGGACACTCAGGAGTTGTCAGGACAAAGGAGCTGGCACGAAGCTACGTGTGGTGGCCGACCATTGATCAGGACATCGAGCGACAGGTAGGCGCATGCCAGCCTTGCCAGCTGCAGCGTAATTTGCCTTGCCCTGCTCCGCTACACCCGTGGGCGTGGCCCACTCGTCCCTGGGAACGAGTCCACATGGAATCTGCGGGACCGTATGGAGGTGTCATGCTGTTTGTTGTTGTGGATGCTCATTCGAAATGTCCGGAAGTCTTCACAATGAAGCAGACAACTACCGAACGAACCATAAACTCTTTGCCCAAACTATTTTGTTGTTTTAGGTTCCCAGAAACGCTCGTGTCAGATAATGGACCACAATTCACGTCTGCTGAATTTGCAAGCTACATGCGCAGGATCGGTACACGTCATATTCGCACAGCACCGTACCATCCAAGTAGTAATGGCCAAGCGGAACGTTTTGTTCAGTCTTCGAAGGTCGCACTGCGCAAGGATCCAGCCCTCCCAGTGAACGAGGCACTGGCGGACTTTCTTTTGGCTTAGAGGAACACTCCGCACACTACAACCGGGGAAGCGCCAGCCGTCCTATTGCTTGGCAGGCATCTCCGCACACGGCTAGATGTTGTCAAGCCTTCAACCAGGGAAACTGTTTCTGCAAGGCATTTTACCCAGACGCTAAAACGGCGTTCAAATGGTCGGCTCGGTAAACGGTTCTCGGTAGGCGACAGTGTGCGGGTCCGAAATTTTCGACGTGGTGACAGGTGGTTTAGAGCCACGATTTGAGCTCAAACCGGGCCGGTATCCTACAAGTTGTGTGTAACCACGCCGCGAGGTGTGTTTCAGTGGGTGCGACACAAGGACCAGATTGTTCGGGTGCCACCGGAAGAGGACATGTCCACGCCACTGGGACTTTTCAGGGAATCCGAGGTACCAGAGGCCGGCCAGACTCCAGCACCACAAGAAGTAGCTCCTGCTCGACCACCACCAGCGGAACCAGCTCAGCAAGAGGAGCGGCGATACCCTTCTCGCCAACGGAGACCACCGGACCGCTACGCGCCCCAGCCTATTGTTACGTGTAGAACAAACTTATTTAGGCCCGAGGAGTGTTATGTTGTATTACGCGCGTTTCAGCACGTATGACGCGCCCCCTTTTCCTTCTGATTGCTCCTCCTCTGCCTACCCTTCCCCTCTCTGATAACATGCTATAAGTTACGCACGCCTGCCGGCCGCGCCCTTCTTCTTGCTCGCTCCGTCATGAAATAAAGTCATTCTACCTCGCCACTCACCGAGCTGCTCTCGTCAATCCTGTTCGTCCACTCGCACAAACACTACAAAATAGCGTTTTTTTTTCTTTGGATAAAAGCATTTTAGATTAACTTTGATCCAAAGCAATTCATAGGCACAGGCGCGCCTTTCGTGAGCATGGAGTGAGAGAGAAGGCCCACAATACCCCAATCAATCATATTTTATCACATCAGAATGTTATTTACAATTCTAGTTCTCCGACAAATCAGGCCCAACCAGTGTTTGAATACTAGGATTTGTGCTTCAAAGAAGTCAGTCGGCGGAAGATGAAGATGTTTGTCCTATTCATATAAAACCTCGTTATCAAAAAGAGTGTCGGAATATGCCATACATATGTTCAGTGCTCAAAGTATATTGAAGAGCCCAGCTCAGTGTTCGTAGTGCATAGCAGCCTCAGATGACGGGCTAGTTTTCTGTTACTATGATGCGTGAACCGCACTTTGAGGATTTAGTGTGCGCGATGAGTGGAAGTCGCTTATTAGTTGACGCACGGCTAGCTGATAGCCTATGTAGGATGTTTTATTTTGAGAATTCGCTTTGTGTATAGTACTGTAACCCTCCTGCAAATTTGATTTTATCACCTGATGAATTATCCTGATGAGTTTCAAACGTGTAACTATTAATGACTGTCAAAACATTTTAATTGATTTATGGTTGTGCTTTAATAATATTGGAAATGTTAAATAGAGGTCTTGTCATCTATTCCTAATTCCTGGGCCTCCCATCGAAAATGTCTTCTCGGTAATTGATAATCAAAGGGGTTGGCAGAATAACATATGATGCTTAGCCAGTAGAAAAAGTAACATGATATCCTAATATTACTCATTCCATGCATTGACTATGAGTGCCATTGTAACACTCGAGCATGGGGAAGCACATGGTAAAGGCAAAGCTTCAAAGCTTTGTTCTGAGTTCCATTTGTGCTCTCCCTCATTTTCCTCCAGGACAGTGTTAAAAGGCCCGTTCTCTACCAGCTTCTTTGCATACTTGCTTTGACTGTGTATCTGCAGTTCTTGAATCAAAATGCGTACTTTACCTGAATGTCAAACTCACTTTCTTCCTAAGGCGACACTTTAGGCCTACAATGAAGACCGACGATGAGAGAAAGGCAAACAGGAGGCACTCAGAGGTCTCGAATCTCAGCAAGGAGCCATCAGGCTTCTTTGAAGGCGTCCATCTTTATTTCAGTTCACCTGAGCTCATTGAATAAAATACGGGGATCTGATTTGATTGATGACACAATAATTTTACCACACAAAAGGTTAGTTGCATGCTGCGCAAGAGGTGGAACTTGGACCCACTGCCATTGCCGGTGAAAGACTGGGAATGCAAAGTATGGAGATATCAAAATGAATGCAGCATACCTTGATAAAATAATGATCGAACGTGCAGTACTTCTAAAATTGCTTAATGATTGTTTAGAATCGTATTAGTGGCGAGTTTCGTGGTAAGAAAGAAAACTTTCATTGAAGGTTATGAGATTATCTGTAGTGGAAGCGTGTGTGTGCATTTACAACGGGACAGTAAGCGCAACACAAACCAGAAAATCTTCGAAGTGTTTGCACGGCCACAATAACGAAACACCGTAGCATCAGCAGTCGACTTACTGCTCATAATATTGGCGCCTGGAGGCTTCCATGTTGTAAAGCAAAATTAAAAAGGGTCTAATTTCGAAGAAGTCGTCGCGCAGTAAACGAGCTGTCAGCAGATGGTTATTGGTAGGAGCAGTTTAACCCTCA